CTGGTTCAGTTATTGGGAGGTTATATGTTCCTAGGAGTTTAACCATTTCTTCTCAGTTGTCCCGTTTGTTGGCATATAGGTTTTCATAATATTCGGTTATAATTTTATTTCTGTAGGTTGGTTTCTATTGCTCCTCTTCCATTAAAGATTTTGTTTATTTGGGTCCTCTCTCTCTCTCTCTCTCTCTTTAATGAGTCTGGCTAGAGGTTTATCAATTTTGTCGATCTTTTCAAAGAATGAGTTTCTAGTTTCATTGATCTATTGTTTTTGTTTGTTTGTTTGTTTTTAAGTTTCTATATAATTTATTATTTTCTTCCTTATGCTGGGTTTGGGTTTTTTTTTAATATTTTATTTATTTATTTGACAGAGAGAGTGAGAGAGATCACAAGTAGGCAGAGAGGCAGGCAGAGAGAGAGGGGGAAGCAGGATCCCTGCTGAGCATAGAGCCTGATGCGGGGCTTGATCCCAGGACCCTGAGATCATGACCTGAGCCCAAGGCAGAGGCTTAACCCACTGAGCCACCCAGATGCCCCAAGGGTTTTGTTTTTTCTTCTTTATCTAGCTCCTTTATATATAAGGTTGGATTGTTTGAGGTTTTTCTTGCTTCTTGAAGTAAGCCTGTGTTGCTATAAACTTCTCTCTTACAAGTACTTTTGCCATATCCCAAAGATTTTGGACCAGTCTGTTTTCATTTTCATTTGTTTCCACTTCCAAAAAAGTGCCTTTTTTTTTTTCTTACACCCAAAGTGTGGCTTGAACTCCTGACTCCAAGATCAAGAGTCTCATAGTCTTCCAACTGAATGAATCAGGCATGCTTCTGTGTAATTTTTTATTTCCTTTTTCATTTCTTGGTTGATACATTTGTTGTTTAGTAGCATGTTATTTAACCTCCATGTATTTGTACTTTTTCCAGATTTTTTCTTGTTGATTTCTAGTTTCACAGTGTTGTGGTCAGAAAAGATGCATGCTATGACTTCAATTTTTTGAATTTGTTGAGACTTGTTTGTGCCCTAATATGTGATCTATTCTGGAAAATGTTCCGTGTGCACTTGAAAAGAATGGGTATTCTGCTGTTTTAGGAAGAAATGTTCTGAATATGGCTATGAAATCCATCTGGTCCAGTGTGTCATTCAAAGCCACTCTTTCCTTGTTGATTTTCTGTTTGAATGATCTTCCCATTAACATACATGTGGTGTTATGGTCCCCTACCATTATTGTATTACTATCTATTATTTCCTTTATGTTTGTTATTAACTGTTTATGTATTTAGGTGCTCCCATGTTGGGCACACAAACATTTACAATTGTTATATCCTCTTGTTGGATTGTCCCCTTTATTATTATATAATGTCCTTCTTTGTCTCTTGTCATAGTCTTTACTTTAAAGGCTATTTTGTCCAATATAAGTATTGCTACCCCAGCTCTCTGTTGATATCCATTTACATGATAAATGTTTCTCCACTCCCTCATTTTCTTTCTTTTATTTTTAAAGATTTTCTTTTATTTTAATTTTTTTTAAAGATTTTATTTATTTGTCAGAGAGAGAGAGAAAGAGGTCACAAGTAGGCCGAGAGGAAGGCAGAGGCAGAGGGAGAAGCAGGTTCCCTGCCGAGCAAGGAGCCTGATGTGGGACTCGATCCCAGGACGCTGGGATCATGACCTGAGCAGAAGGCAGCCGTTTAACCAACTGAGCCACCCAGGCGTCCCTTTTATTTTAATTTTTAAAAATATCCTACAACCAACATCATTCTTTAAAAAAAAAAGATTCATTTATTTTGGAGAGAGAGAGAGTGCACGTGCAAGCTCACATGTAGGGTGGAGGGGCAGAAGGAAAGGAGAAAGAGAATCCTAAGCAGCCTCCAGGCTTAGCATGGAGCCTGACGCAGGGCTTGATCCCACAACCCAGAGACCAGGACCTGATCTGAAACCAAGAGTTGAATGCTTAACTGACTATGCCACACAGGCACTCTTTTAATTTTTTTTTTTTTTTTAAAGTGGTCTCCAGGCCCAGCATGGAACCCAGTGCAGGGCTTGAACTCATGAGTCTGAGATCAAGAGTCAGGTGCTTAACCAACTGAGCTACCCAGGCGCCCCTAAAGATTTTATGAAGTAAGTAAGTCTCGAACTCACAACTCCAAGATCAAGAGTCGCATGCTCTTCCAACTGAGCCAGCCAGGCACTCCTCCATCCCCTCAATCGGCAAGTGTCTTTTGGTCTGAAATTAACCTCTTGCAGGCAGCACATAGATGGATCTTGTTTTTTACCCACACTATCACTCTATGTCTTTTGATTGGAGTATTTAATCCACTTATATTCAAAGTAATTATTGATAGGCACATACTTTTTGTTACCTGTTTTATGGTTGTTTCTACACATTTCTCTGATCCTTTCTTCTCTTGCTCTCTTTCACGGTTTATTGGCTTTCTTTAATGATATACTTGGATTCCTTTTTCTTTATCCTTTGCATATCTATTACTGGGTTTTGATTTGTTGTTATCATTCAGCATATAACATTTTATATACATAGCAGTTTGTTTTAAGTTGATGGTCACTTAAGTTTGAACCCATCCTTCACTCTTCTACCCACCACATTTTAGGCATATAGTGTCATATTTTACATCCTCCCCCTTTTTATTTACTGAATCCTTTGACTAATTTTTACAGAAATACTTATTTTTACTGTTTATGTTTTTTACTTTTCTTACCCATTTATGGTCTTTCCTTTCCACTTAAAGTGTTCCCTTTAATATTTCTTGTAGGGCTGGTTTAGTGGTCATGAATTCCTTTAGTTTTTGTCTGAGAAACTTTCTGTTCTGTTTGAGAGCCTTGCTGGATAGAGTATTCTTGGTTGCAGATTTTTCCCTTTCAGCACTTTTAACATATCATGCCACTTTCTTCTAGCCTGAAGTTTCTGCTGAAACATCCACTGTTAGCCTGATGAGGTTTCCCTTGTATATAACTGTCTTTTCTCTTGTTGTTTTTATGTTTTTTTCTTTATTACTACTTTTACCATTTTAATTATTTTGTGCCTTGTTTGAATTTGGTGGGGACTGGGCGGGGGGGGGGTCTCTGTGCCTCCCAGATCTGAATATCTGTTCCCTTCCCCAGATTAGGGAAATTTTCAGCTATTATTCCTTCAAATAAACTTTCTGCCCTCTTTCTTCTCTCTTCTTATGAGATACCTATAAAGCAAATGCTGGAGTCACTGAGTTCTCTAAGGCTATTCTCAATTTGCATAATTTTCTTTCCTTTCCTTTGCTAAGCCCGATAGCTAGTGTAGTGCCCTGCAGTGCAGTGTCCCCTGGTCCCCAGGGCTTGGAAATTCAGGGAGTATCTCCTATGTGTGTTGTGTGTACTCTGCCATTGAGTTCTGACCTCCTTTTCCTTCAGTTCCATTGTATGCAGAGGTTTTCTTTGCCTATTGTGGGGGTGTTTGGTCCCCAGCAGGGGTGGAGCACATTTTATCAAGGTGTATAGTGGTCTGCTTGCCAAATGAGACCTGCCCCTGCTGCCACCAGACCTGAGGTCCCACAGAATGCACAGGTAGGGAGATGAGGTGTTGGCAGGGTTTGCAATGGTCTCCTGGAGGAGGGGGCATGCAGAAGTGAGATTGAAACCAGTGTGGCTGGGAAGGGCAGATGTGCCATAGCATGAAGGGGAGGGGCTTGATGTAAGCAAGTTAAGTAGTAAGTAGGGGTGCCTGGGTGGCTCAGTCATTAAGTGTCTGCCTTCGCCTAGGGTCATGATCCCAGGGTCCTGGGATTGACCCCTGCATTGGCTCCCTGCTTGGTGGGAAGCCTGCTTCTCCCTCTGCTTGTGTTCCCTCTCTCACTGTATCTCTCTCTGTCAAATAAATAAATAAAATCTTTCCAAAAAAAAAAAAAATGTTAAGAAGTAAGTACCGAGGGTTGGCTGCACTGGTTCTCACAGGTGTTTGTTGTTTATGCTAGGGAGGGGGAGAGGGAAATAGTACCTGCTAGCTTCTTTGTTCCTGGAGAGGCTTTCTCATGATCCCTGTCTCTCCAGGTCATTCTCTGAGATTAGGAAGTTGCTTTCCCTCCCATCCACCCCTGGCATTTTTCAAAACTTCTATATCTGAACAGCTGTGCTCTCTCTTTAAGTACAGAGAATCCACTTCCTAATGTCCTTCAGGCCCTCCCAGAGCAGAGACTGATGATTTTTTAAATTCCAGGCTTTAAGTCAGGCTGGTTGTAAGAACTCATGAAATTTGGCCCCTCTTGCTTTCATAGGCAAATGTGTGGGGGGACTCATCCTCCCTGTTCATGGGCTCCCTGGTGTGAAAGTCTCTTTTTCACCCTTCTCTACACCACTGGCTCCCTTCCCACTGTGGACAGGTATGGTCTGTTTTGCTCTTAAACCATGTCTTCATCCTCCCAAACTTCTTTGATGTGGCCTCTTCTCTACCTTTAGTTGTGAGTTTGTTCTTCCAGTCTTCATATTGGGCTCACCACAGTGAGTCCCACCACCATGGTGTATCCCACCATCATGGTAGATTTCACCACCTTGGTGAATTCCAAGACTTTCATGACAATGCCTCCTCTCACCATTCCTCTCACTCCCACCACTCTCACCATCATAGTAGAGCCCAGAACCTCACATCCCTTGCCGTGGGTTATTTATACTGAAGTGTTATCTAGTTGTATCTATGGGATGAAGTGAGCTTAGGGTCCTCCTACTTTGCCCTCTTCCCAGCTGGCCCTTGAGAAATAAATCCTTCCCTTTTATTGACTTCAGTTTCCTTGTTTTACAATGGAGAGGTTAGACACAATGAGCCTAGATTCTGAACTATACCCCAGAAGGAGGCATTTTGAAATCGGACCTGGGAAGGGGTCTGCTGGTGGCATCATAAAGGGAGAATTCCGTGAGAAGACTCAGGTTTTCCTAGAAGGGCCAGTGTCACAGGTTGGAAGGACAATTCAGGAAGGAGACTGTTGGGCCCACATTTTGAGCTCTCCTCATTCCAGTGTTCCCAGCATAGTCATGGATCAACCTTCATTGGCTGAAAAGGCTCACAATGAGGCAGACACCAACAATTTGGATGTGTTATCTCACCCTGATTCACCAACCTCATATCACAGGCCAAGGCATAGCAGAGTCCACCACCATCACGGTGCGTCCCACCACCATGGTAGGTCCCAGCATCACAGCAAGTCCCACCATCATGGTGGGTCCCACCATCATAGCACATCCCGTCACCACAGTGAGTCCGACCATCATGGAGTATCCCACCATCATGGTAGATCTCACCACCTTGGTAAATTCCAAGACTTTCATGACAATACCCCCTCCCACCATTCCCCTCACTCCCACCATTCCCACCACTCCCACCACTCTCACCACCATGGTGAAGCCCACCATCATGGCAGAGCCTACAACCACACATCCCTTGCACTGGCTCCTCAAAGCACTATCTACTCCCATCATTCCCTTGGTGAGGACCCCTTTGATGGTGAGTACCACCATGGTAGCAGAAGACATCATGGTAGGCCCCACCACCATGGTGAGCCCCACCACCAAGGGGGGTCCCACTACCACAGGGGGTCCTACCACCATGGTGAGCCCTACCACCATGGAAGGTCCCATCACCGCAGTGAGTCCTACCACCATGGTGGGTCTCACCACCATAGGGAACCACACCACCATGCTAGGCCCCACCATCACAGTGAGGTTTCTCACCATAGTGGGCTCCATTACCAAGGTGAGCCTTACTACCATAAAGATTCCTACACGTATGGTGGCTCTCACCATCATGGTGAGTCCTATCACCATGGCAGGCACCATCACCATGAAGCCCACCACCACAGAGGGCCTCTTCATCATGGAAAGACCTCTTCCCACCATTCCTATGTGGACTCCTATCATGATCGGTTGATACCTCACTACTCTGATAAATACAGCCACCACCACCGTGGCCACCACGGTGAACACCACCATGGCCACCATGGCCACCATGATGAACATCATCACAGGGAGTATCACCGTAGTGTGCATCGTTATGATTATCTCCATGACGATCACCGCTACAGGGAGTACTATCATGGAAGCTCCCACAGCTTGGGCCCATACAAGTCTCACAGTGTGGCCAGAGCTGTCCTTGGCCCTTCCCGCTCTTATTCAGCAATTCTCCGACCTAGCATGGCAGGGGTACAGCACTCAGCCTTTAGCTTGACTCGTTCCCACAGTGCTGTGCGCTCACATGCATCCCAGACGTCCAGCAAAGTCCATCCTCAGGATTCCTCCACTAAAACTTCCTCAGAAAGCTGGACAGAAGAAGATGAGCAATTTCAGAAGCGCAAAAGTGAGTCTCTGCTCCCCCGATCCCCAACTCCCAGTGCCTGGCCCAGACTCCAGGCCCGACCTTCCACCCATCATGAGGCATGGACGTTTCCTGCACGTATATTCTATCGCCTGTCCACTCACCTGACTGCTCATCATCCCGTCTTCTATTCCTTAAACAATACATCTCTTCAGTCCACTGGTTTTTTGTTCATCCGTTCACTGCTGTGTATATATGCATTCACTTCTCAAACATTTCTTCTTGTCTTCTATGGGTCACTGGCCTGCCTGGGCCCTGGAAGCACAGAGAAAACAAATCCTGCCCTTGAGGGGCTCCAAGATGGAGGAGTGGTCACTTACCCAATCCTAGACCACCCAGTGATAGTGGCCTATCCTCCATACCAGGACAGTTACCACTATAGATTGTATTTGTCCACATTTCCCCCACTAAGCTGTGAGCATCTTGACAGACATCCAGAGTCTGAAACAGAGCCTTGTTTAAGGGGAGGGAGGGACCTCCGCAATTAACGCACAATCCCCCAAGCTTGGCCTCAAGTGGTTCAGTAAACAGAGTAGCAGTCTCACAAACAAGCAGAGAGGGAAAGGTACCTAATTGGATGGGAGTAGGGAAGGCAGCCAAAAGGAGATGTTTCAGCAGAATTTCAGAGGGAGAGGGAAAGTTCACCAAGAGGATGGGGTAATTTGGAAAATGGGACTTTCCACGCATAAGTTATCACATGGGTAGAGAAAAGCCTTGAGGCCGTGAGCCCAAAAGATGCACTTGAGCAGACCACAAATCCCAAACAAGCTGGCATCTGCCATGGAAGGGGTCAAGGCTGTGGCCCCAGGATCTACATAAGATTGCATAGAGACACTTTGGTGAGTGAATGGTAGGCAAGTAGACAGGCATGAAGATGAACCCCAGCTTAGTCTGGGAGGATGCCTGGGATTCCCATGCTGCCTCTCACACAGGCTTGACCCTCTGTCCCCCTTACAGCTGCCAGAGCTCAGCGGGCCCACAAGAGGCTGCACACCATGGACCTCTTCAGCAGGTTGTGGGAAAATTTAAGCTACCTCATTCAGGACTTCCGGAGAATGCTTAGGAACCTGACTCAGTCCCTGCCCTTTGAAGCCTTCATCTTCCTTGTTGTCTGCCTCAACACTATCATGCTTGTGGCCCAGACCTTTGCTGAAGTCGAGATCCGGGGCGGTAAGAGCTGGGGAGACCCCTTCTCCTCTTTCTTATTTTAAAAAAAGTATTTTCTTTATTTATTCATGAGAAACAGAGAAAGAGGCAGAGGCAGAGAGAGGGGGAGAAGCAGGGATCCTGATTCGGGACTCCATTCTAGGATCCTGGGATCATGACCTGAGCCCAAGGCAGCTGCTCAACCCACTGAGTCACCCAGGCACCACTTTCACATGGGGAAAGCCAAAGATCTTGCTTCAGGTCCCTTGTGGGCCTGATCCAGTGCCAGGTGGTTCATGTAACTTAGCTCATTTCATCCTTACCCCTGGGAAGTAGACAGCATTGACCAGGATTAAAGATGAGGCTCAGAGACTTTGTTGAGGTCGACCAGCCAGCCAGCCAGACACAAAAACCTACTGAACTGGAGGATATGCTGTTTGTGATACAGCCACGAGGTGGCGCATCGACCCTAAATACGTCTCTGTGGGGTGGCCAGAAGGACCACAGACCACCTAGAAAGGCCAGAAGGCCCTGAGAAGGAGGCTGTGGAGGGGTGAGAGTAGAAAACCGGGGAAGGCAGCCACTGAGACCCTTGGCAGCAGGGTGAAAGAAAGGCCTGCCGCCTCGTGAATAAACTAAGAGAATACGGCTGGCGGCATTCTTATTCGGTGTTAAGTGAAGCCCAAGTTCATGAAAACGCTCTCAGGCTGACTGTTACGGTTCCCAGGCTGACTGGTACGGTTCCCGGGCCAAAATGGGTCTGCTGTTTGGTGACTTCTGGCCAGACTACCCCCGGTGGAGTTGCCTCACAAGGCCATCTTTGTTTGTACAAATAAGGAGATGCAGGGGAGTCGTTTCTAAAGCTTCTCCTAACCCGGGAAAACAGGCCAGAATGAATATTCAGAGCGGGGTTTTTTGTTTTTGTTTTTTTTTTTTTTTAGATTTTATTTATTTATTTGACAGAGAGAGAGATCACAGGTAGACAGAGAGGCAGGCAGAGAGATAGGAGGAAGCAGGCTCCCCGCTGAGCAGAGAGCCTTATGCGGAGCTTGATCCCAGGATCCTGGGATCAAGACCTGAGCCGGAAGGCAGAGGCTTTAACCCCCTGAGCCACTCAGGTGCCCCTCAGAGTGGGGTTTTAAATGACAATGAGGCCAAGGCACTCTCCGATTTGGGCGGGTCCTCAAACGTTTCTTTTTCTGAAACGGTATAAGATTGACAGGTAGGCAGAAGCTGCAGGGAGTTCCCTGAGGTCAGGAGGTCAGGCCAAGCGACAGGGTGATCACCGTTTCACGGACAAGAAAACTGAGGCACGGCGCAGTTAAGACCCATAGCCATTATAGAGCAGAGCCAGGCCCTCCCCAGAAGCGACTGTGTGTGAGGTCCCGGGGGAAGGAGGAGAGATGGGCCAGGGCTACCGGGGAGGGCCCTGGGTGAGCCCCTTGTGTCCCTGCAGAGTGGTACTTCATGGCCTTCGACTCCATCTTCCTCTGCATCTACGTGGTGGAAGCTGCCCTCAAGATGACTGCCCTGGGCTTCAAGTATTTTTCTGACCCTTGGAACAACCTTGGTGCGCGTGCGCGTGTGTGCGCCTGCGTGCGTGCATGCGCGAGTCTGTGTGCGTGGTGCGCATGCGCGTGTCTGTGTGCGTGCGTGTGTGTGGAGGGAGCCAGTGGGCTGCTAGTGGAGGCTGAGGACAGAAGGGGACTGGCAGGGCGTGCTGGTGTTAGGGGGACTGGGGGTCTGGGCGAGGCACTTGGACAGGAGCCCGTGACCCCCAGCGCCCCCTGTGCCCTCAGACTTCTTCATCATGATCATGGCCATGCTGGACTTCCTGCTCTTTCAGTACAACTCCTTCTCCTTCGTCTACCACCAAAGCGTCTTCCGGATCTTCAAGGTTTTCAAGAGCTTGCGGGCCCTGAGGGCCATCCGGGTCCTGCGGAGGCTCAGGTCAGCGGGGCCAGGGCTGCCCACCCCTGTGTGGGGACCCCGTGGGAAGGGGCACACGGGCCTGGGCTCCCAGGGAATCTGATGGGGGACGAAGAGGCTGTGGACACCGGCGCCCTTCCGAGAAGCCTCCTGCCATCCGCTGCGATCGGTCATCTTCCAAAGGGGGCCGAGCTCCCCCAGACCACTGGGAAAGCAGGGCCCGGCTGTCGGGGTGTCCGTTCCGGCTGCCGGGCACGGATTCCCACCCGCGCTGGTTCTTTCAGCCTCCCTCTCGCCTTCTGCCCACAGCTTCTTGACCAGCCTCCAGGAAGTGACCGGGACTCTGGTGCGGTCCCTGCCATCCATCACGGCCATCCTGATCCTCATGTTCACCTGCCTTTGTATCCTGGGCCGTGGGGGCTGGGCTTGGGAGCCGGAGGGGCTGCGATGGGCGGGTTTGTGGCCTCCGGAGCGGTTGGGACCCTGCAAGCCTGCTTTGGCCCTGAACAGCCAGTCCTCTTCTCTGTGGTCCTCCGGGCTCTGTTCCGTCACTCCGACCCCAAGCGCTTCCGGAGCATTCTCTCTACCATCTTCACACTCTTCACCATGCTCACCCTGGACGACTGGTCCCTCATCTACCTGGACAGCCGCGCCCAGGGTGGGACAGACCCCGGGAGGGGTAGAGGGCGGGGTCTTGGCTGGGTAGGCAGACCCGGAGGGCTCAGTTACCCCATCTGCAAAGTGGGGTGTCTGATGCTTGCTGGCGGGGGTGTCGTGAGGGTGAGCAGGGAACTCAGAGCCCAGACGACTGCCTCTCTCCCAGGTGCCTGGTACATCGTCCCCATTCTCATGATTTACATCATCATCCAGTACTTCATCTTCCTCAAGTGAGGACCCCACCCCCCGCCTTGGCTCCCCAGCTTCACCGCCACCCCTGCCTAACCTTGGGGCACCCCTCTCCAGCTCTGTCCCCTGGGTCATGCCACAGTGAACCCAGAGGAGGGTGCAGGGCTGCTCCTACAGCCTCCTCCTGGAGAGTACCCCACTATCCATCCCCCCCATCCCCAGCCTGGTGATTGCGGTCCTGGTGGATAACTTCCAGATGGCTCTGCTTCAGGGCTTGGAGAAACTGAAGCAGGAGGTATGGCGGGGGAGGAGGGTGGGCAGGTGGACCTGGGGGGTAGGGGGGGGCGGGGGTGGGGGACGGGCAGGGACCCTATGAAGGGGTGGCCACAGAGGCTGGGGGAAAGGCAGGAGGGTCCTCCAGGAGTGGACTTGGGCAAGACAAAAGCCCCTTCTTCCCAGAGGGCCGCCTGGATCCGTGAGAAGATCCTGGACGACTCACTGACAGAACTCAGCAGATCAGGTACCGGCCCTCCTTCCACAGTCACACACACCATTCCAGGTTCAGTGGCAGACTTTGAGAATCTGAGACTTAGGAGGACTTTCAGAGCTTAGAACTGAGGGTCCAAAAGAACTCCAAGACAATCTTCTAAAAAGTGATGAAACTGATCGCCAATTCTTGAAAACCCCATTTGTGAAATGACTACCCAAATTATGATTCACCGAATACTCATTTTTTCTAACAACTTATAAAGTTTATAGCACTTGGTTTACCTGGGATGGTTTCGACTGCCGTGGAGGGTTTTGTCAAGGTGTGCACACTGGTCCAGAGTCACACAAAGTGGATTGAGATTCATTAAAAATCAAGTTCCTTGGACACGTTCATTTTTATAAAGCCGACTTTCTGAGTGAATTGATTTTGAGACAGTTGATCTGCTTCCTGCTTTTAAAGATCTTCAGAACTTTAGATAATCTGAGCTCTCAGGATCCCACTCTTGGGCTCCTCACCAGGACCCTCACCTGTCCCTTCCATCAGGGATAGACACTCAGTGCAAAAAAGCTGAGGCAAAAAGAGGAATTAATTGGCAGAAATTATTTAGCAAATTGCAAGTGTGTGGGCTTTCAGGAACGGTTGGATCCAGGACTTGAATACTAGTCAGGATTTGGTCTCTCTGCTCTGTGGTCCTCTGCATGGTTTTGTGCTTAGGGTGGCTCTTCCCTTGAGGTAGGAATGGCCACCTGCCACTCTAGTCCCAAATCCTCACAGGTTAGCCATTCCTATCATGCCCAGCAGAGACTTCCTCTTCTTCCTGCAGTTACAGCGAAGTCCTGGAAATGAGTCTTCTTTGCTTTGATCACCTGACTATTTTGGAAGCAATCACTCTAGCCAAAAGAATAGGCTGCTCTGATTGGCCAGGCCTGAGTCACATGTTGTTGGAGGTGGGAGGTGGGGGGTCAATCCCTGCTAGACAAGGTGGACCCAAAAGGCGCAGTAGTGGGAAAACAGGGAGGGGGGATTTTTACCACAAATCTGATACACACTCCACACCCAGAGAACCCATCTCTTTGGGGGCATCTTTTTTTTTTTTTTTTTTTTAAAGATTTTTTATTTATTTATTTCACAGAGAGAGATCACAGGTAGGCAGAGAGGCAGAGAGATAGAGGAGGAAGCAGGCTCTCCGCTGAGCAGAGAGCCCGATGCGGGACTCGATCCCAGGACCCTGAGATCATGACCTGAGCCGAAGGCAGAGGCTTAACCCACTGAGCCCCCTCTTTGGGGGCATCTTGAGCAAAAAACGCTTTTAGCCCCATCTGAATACCTCCGTGACACATGGGGTGTCTTCTACCTCCTTTCAATCTGGGCATCTTCTTGACTGTCCCCCTTTTTTATATCCAGACCCTGAAGAGATGGTGAGTGAACACACCAGACAGAAGCAGCTCATCGAGAAAAAATTTGGGACCATGACTGAGAAGTAAGGAGATGCCAAGGGAGGCGAGGCCCTGTGTCTAGGGGGAGAGGTCTGGGGTCTGGCCCAGTCTGGCAGGGCAAGGGACATTGCTCACCTCTCTGGGAGGCAGTGGGGCGCCAAGGCCCATGGAGAGCCTCTGGGTGGGACGTGGAGACCACGAGTGGCTTCTGTTCACCCAAAGCTATCTTGTGCCACCAAGAGAGTCCCCCCTGGCAGTGTCTACAGGGCCATGAGAGCCACTGTGAGGCTGAGGGCAAAGGCAGGGCAGCAGCGAGTCTGCCTGTCTGTTTACTCAGGAAGCAGACCTGAGCCTTGCTCTGGGTCAGGCCCTATAAGTTCTCTAGGACACAGACTAATCCATGCCCAGGAGAGCCTATTGCCAAGAACCTGTGCCGGACCCTGAGGGCACTAGACTTGGGCTAAGTGGAGGGGTGAAGAGGACGGGTCAAGGAATAGCTTGCGTAAAGGCCTGGGAGGCAGATGGTCAACATCCTATTCCCGTGGAATCGATTGGCCAGCTGGGGACTTATGACCGTGCTTGTGGCTGGGGGACCTCGGCACAGACTCCTGCTTCCTGGCTCGCAGGCTTGGCTCCACAGAGACCCATGCCTCTGAAAGCTGGGCCCCACTGCACCTCATCCGGATTGGCTCCAAGCCAGCCCGACTACTGGCAGCCTCCAGCCCCTCCTTACCCGACATCCAAGTTCAAGTCCCAAAGGCCCTCTGTGACCCAGCCTTTGCCAACCTCCCTCGGTTCCCTGGTTCCTTCCTTGCTGTCCCTGCACTGTTTCCCAAGCATAGCATATACTTCTCCATCTCCAGGCCTTTGTCCACACTGTTTTCTTGGTCTGGAATATTCTCTGGCTGCCAATGCTGGGCTCAAGTGAACAAGATTTGGGAGAGTTGAGTTCCAATCCTGCTCACTTCACCTCCTGGCCCTCCTATCCTCCACTCCATGTTCCAGCAACTTGGCTACTGGCTTAGTGCACCCTTGGCACCTCTATAACACTTTCCATGGGGGTTTCTGGGCCCCCAGACTCTTCCCACTGGCCCACCTCCTCTAAGCGTGCCCTTTGTTTTTGTTTGTTGTTTGTTTTAATCTGTCTTTTATTCTTTTTATTTATGTATAGAGCGGTCTTTGTTAAAAGCAGTTTAGGCTTTTCCTTCCTCATCAGACTTTACATCTCCAACTCACCCACTCTCTACGGCCTCCTTCCCTGAAGCCTGCCCTGGCCCCCAGTATACTCCAGTCCTTCTGGGCTAGCAGACCAGGAACCTTGCTGAAGCCTGGCAGAGCCCCAGGTGTCTTTCAACCTCGTCTTTGTGGCACTTGCTCTGGAAGCCTTCTCCGATCCCCAGGACTGGATGAGCTTTTCCTCCTCGGGGACCCTCAGCAGTCTGGTTTACTCATCCCAAGTGTAAACTCTTGGTTTGCGTTCCTGGCACTGCCACAGACTGAGCTTCTTAAGGGCGAGGAGTGTTTCTTCTTAACGTCTGGGTCCTCGGAGCACCTGGCAGGGTCCATTGATTTCAGTGTCACTCGGTGGGTGGATTTATAAAATGGGCAGGTGAAGAGGGAGTTAATAGATAGTTAATAGATGGGCAGGTGAATGGTTGCGGGGGGCAGTCAGGCGGGGAACTGGCTGTACCACATGCTGGAGGGGTGGGTCCAGGGAAGAGCAGGTAGAGGGAGGGATCGGGGTGGTCAGATGAGTGAGTGAAAGGCTAGGGAGGTGGGCAGATGAATGGGTAGGTGGGCAAGTGGGTGCACAGAGAGGTATGGGGTAGCCGGAGGGGCCAGCGGTTGGGGGGATGGACGGATGGAGGCACTGATAACTGGGAGGGTAAACCACTGGTACAAAAGGGGGCTCTTAGTTTGGGGGAAAAGGAGATTCACCATGAAAGCTCTGACTCAGAAAAGTTGTAATGTGGGACTGGCGGGGGGCAGGCGAGAGGAGCTTTCCGGGGGGCTCTGGCAGCCTCGCAGACCCTGCCACACAGGTCAGCTCTGGCTTGTCCCCATCCCCCGCCCCACCCCAGGCAGCAGGAGCTCCTGTTCCACTTCCTGCAGCTGGTGGCTGGGGTAGAGCATCATCAACAGAAATTCCGCTCCCAGGCGTCCGTTCTTGATGAGATTGTGGACACTGCATTCGAGGTGTGCCAGGCAGGACCAGAGGAGGAGAGGGGCCCGAATGGGTGGACCCCAGAGGGCCCCGAATAGTCACATGGGCCGGTGGGAAGGCGGAGGCCAGCACAGGCCTAGTTACCTTCCCATCCCACCCCTGCAGGCTGGAGAAGAGGACTTCAGGAAGTGACTCCTGGACGGAGAGAGACACTGGCTGTGGATTTCAGCCTCCGGCAAGCTGCCCACTGCCTTGGGTCCGGACAAGTCCCCTGCTCTGCTGGAATGATCGTCGGGCTTGCAGGGCTGGTCCTAACAGAGTTTTTAAAACCCCGAGTGTCTCTGTGTCCTCCCTGGCTAAGCCAAGGCACAGGGCAGGGGAAGAGTGCCCATGCATGGGTGTGCACTGTATGTGTGTGTGTGTGTGTGTGTTTTGGGGGGATGGATGAGTCTCTGTTAGAGGAAAGCAGGGAATAAGCCTAATGGTCGCTCCCCACCCTGCCTGGCCTAGGGCTTGGATGAGTTCCCCTACTTTCAGTCTGAACCTGGGCAAAATGCCCAGAGCCCCTGACCCCGCAGTGTGGGTGGAGGAGAGGCTGTGGCTCAGATCCCCGAGTGCCTGGGCCTGGGCGGGGTGCTGCAGACCTGGGGCTCCAGACTAGAGTGGGGTGTCCCACTGCCTCCGGCAGCCATCTCTCTCTGGCCAAGTGAAACCAGGCTACAGCAGAGGCTGGAGGGGGTCAGGAGCAGGACTCCAGAGTGGGGGCTGCGGGGTGACAGTCGTGCCAGTCTTCCCTGTCCCTGCAGGCTGGACCAGGCAGGAGTGAAGACACCAGGCCCCAGCGCAGAAGGGGCACGTCCCTCCCTGGCCAGAACCTGGGGAGAGAAGGTGCTGGGCAAATGGCTTCTGGGATCAGGGCACAGATCTGGGGGTGGAGAGGCCACCTGGTGGGTATCTGCGGGCCACCACCCCACGCATTCATTCACCAAGCATTTCCTGCCACTTCCCCGTGCCTGCTCCAGGCTGGAAGCTCCTGCCTGGTGGCCCGCAGGGGCCCTGGGCCAGCTGAGCTGCCGCCTCTGACGGGCTGGGGCAGAAGAGGGCTGAATTTTCCCCTGCGCCCCTAGCTCCTGTCCAGTGCAGCCCATTCGCTGCCCAGACTTCCTCATGCCAGTCGCCTCTCTACTGTCCGCCCCTCCCCATCCCTAACCCAGCAGGCCTCTGAGAGCACAGGGCAAGGCCTGGACTGGGGGCTGTTCTCCAGTAGGTCACAGCATTGGGCAGGGGACTGAAGGCAGACACAGTGGCGGATGCGAGGCCCCGCCAGGAGGGGCGAGAGACAGAGGCCGGGGGCCTGTCCACCCCCACACCACTGCACTTGACTGCCCGCACCTACTTCTCCCAAGGGATCCCGTTCCTGACTTTCCTGCTCCAGGCGTGGGTGTGCGGAGGTCTGTCCGCATCTCCGGGTTGTCTGGGGTGGAGGGTGTTGCCTCGGTGCGTCTGTGCTGTTCCGGATATGTATGTGGTGTCGGGGAGCCTCCAAGTGTGTGCTGTGGTTTCAGTGTACATGTGTGGCGTTGAGAGTTCCGTGTGTGTGTGTGTGTGTGTGTGTGTGTGTGTGTGTGTGTGTGTGTAGTGAGTAGGATCTGCACCCACAAATGCAGCTGTGCAAAAAATGCTGCAGTTCTGTTTTCTTTAAATGATGTCACATCGCACCTGTCCCCTCCTCCCTCCTGTGGGCAGTAGATTTGACCTTGGTCCCCTTTGGGCTTCCTGTCCAGCCCCTTCCAGGGGTCTTGCCTGGGGCAAAGCACTGGGAACGCCTCTGGCCTATGGCCCACAGCGTGTACTTGAAAGCCACCGTCCCCGCCCTCATGGCCTCTTGGCTGGTGGGGGCTCTGGCACCACTGGCCCGCAGGCAGGTATGGGAACCTCGCAGGTGGGGCGCTCGGCGTCCTGGGGCCTGGCTGCCTGGACACAGCCTGTGCTACCCTGAGTCATCCTGGGAGCCGAGAGGGAGCAGAGCTCAGGCCCGCCTCAGACGATTCACCGACTCCGGCCCCTGTTGGCTCTTGGGGCGTCCTTCTCCTGAGACTTGGTCTCCCACCCCTGCACTCTGAGAATACTGAGTGCTTAGAGGTCTGATTCTCTGGGTCTGCAATGCTGGGGTGTTTGGAGAACTGCACATTTGGGGCCTGAACCCTGCGCCCTCAGCACTGTATGGGCTGAGACAACAGCAGCTCAGCAGAGAGTGGGATGGGCGGTCTGTGGCCTGGGAAGGGGGTGCTGCCACGAGTGGGCATGGGAGAAGGGGGACCCGGGGGGAGGGTGAAGCACTCCGGAGAGGCCGATGCAAGAAGCGGCGCCGGCAATTTATTGTGACAGGTACGTTGCTGGACCTGAAGCGCCTTCCCGCCCGTGCCCCGCCAGCCCCGGCCCCCATGCCCCAAGGGGTCTACGATATGGTCACGCAGTTGTGCTTCAGAAGCTGGGAGGAATTCTGCCAGGGGACCACTAGGATCTCGAAGTCACAGCGCAGCTTCTGCAGGGAGAGAAGGAGGGGTGAGTCTGGGTCCCAGGCCCGACTGCCCGCAATTGCCACCCTCAGCCCGCGACGCTCCACTCTGCCAGAGAAACAATCACTGGCCCAAGTGGATCTGGGATCTAGTCAACTGGGCAGGACTAGATCCCAGATCCTTCTAGCCCATTCCAGCGAGGGAGAAGCCCCAGTCTCCTCCTCTCCGCACCCCACCCTGGCCTGGGGGCTGAATCACCCAGGAGACAGGGACAGGTTCAGCCAGATATCATCCAGGCCAGGCGGACCTGTTCAGGCCGGACAACCCCTGCCGTGGGTGCCGGGAAGTGGGGTGCAGGCCTATTACCTCCTCCTGCACTCCTGTGGCAAAGGGGCAGGTGGCGATATCCACGCCGTCTCCGGTGGCCATGTTCTTGCGACAGGCTGTGCTCCCCATCTCAACAGTCAGGTAGTACTTGATGCCGGCCACCAACTGGGGACGGAAGGCACCAGCCGGTTAGGAGTGCCTAGGAGTGCCGGCAGACTACCCAGACCACCCTTGACCGAGACCTTGCACCTCTCTCCACATTGCGCACGCTGGCCTGTGCCTCGGGATTCAGACCCTGGAGCAGGGAGTTCCGGTGCGGGTTCCCGCGGAATGGGACAGCGGCCTGGGCCACACAGGACGCTGAGAGCCAGGTGTGCACAGGCCTTGAAGCCCCATCCCACACTCCCCTCTCCCCAATCCAACCCCCAGGGCGGTGGCTAGTGGGAGGCTAGTGAGTCCCAGCTTAATTAAGTCGGGGCCAGATCCGGTCTGTTGAAATCTAGATAGGTTGTTCATAACAAACTTTTGGCATCATTCAACTTACAAAATACATTGTATTAAAATGTCCTGAATGCTCTCCTGGCATCTCCTTAACCTGGCCCCAGCTGGGATGCCTCCCTGGTGGGGTCCCAGCCGGGGTCCCAGCCTGGCCCCCAGCCGCCCCTCTGCCTGGCCGCACCTGGCTCTGCGCCTTGAGGATGTTGGTGTCCCGGAAGTAGTAGAGGCTGTTGCTGCCCATGTTGTAGCTGGCCACCGCCGCCTGGGCCGCCTTCTGCACCTGCGGGTCGCTGGGAGACAGGTCCCTGCGGCCACCTACGAGGCCCTCCCCAGAGCGGGGGCGGGCACAGGCGTTGTGGAGGAGTGCCAGAAGGCAGAGCGCGAGCAGGCCCAGGCCCAGGGCCCGAGGGAGGCTTGGAGTAGCCATGGCCGGCAATGCCAGGTCCCCCTGCGCGCCCCGCTTTTTACCTGCTCGAAGGCCCCGCCCACCCCGCGCCCCCGCGGCGGGGCAGGGGAGGGATCGTAGAGCCTGGGCGGGTCTTAGAGGCCGCCTCCCTTCTGCCCGAGGGGGCAGTGGAGGCCTCCCCCACCTGCGTCCAGCGATGCTGCCTTGCCTTCCAGGGACTCGGCCGCCCCCCTCCCCCGACGGTGAGGGAAAGGACAGGGACAGTCCCCAGCAGGTGCTCACCGTTCAGATGGTTCGTGGAAGGCCCAACCAGTAGCAAACACCAACTTAGCGACCTGTAACTATTGCCACCATTTACTAGCTGTGCAACCTGGGAGAAATTACTTAACGGCTCGCTGCCTCCATTTCCCTCTCTGTAAAATGGGTTGCTGTGAGGACACAACAGGTCAAGTGCTTAGAGAAGGCTCAGTCCTGTAAAAACAGCAGGAAAGGCGACTAGTATGCTGAGCCGGGCACTGTTTGACCCTCATAGCCAGGAATGGAAATTGGTAATGTTACCACTCCGTGAAAAAAGAGGAAGAAAACAGGACGCAGAGAGGAGAACAGATTTACCCAAGGATGCAGATAGGAAATAGTAAATGATGCCACTGGCTTTTGAGCCCAAGCAGTCGAACCCAAATCTGTGCTCTCAAACCAGACTGAGCCCACAGGATGCGGGTGGCCAGAAAGAGGGTCGTGTGTGGAACTGGGCTCTGCCGATTACTGACCGGTGAATTGGACACCGTCCTTGGCCTCCCAAGGTCTCACTGTCATCCCTCTGAGGAAAGGGGACAACTCCTACCTGCTAAGGTTATTCTGATGTTAATGCCTGGGGACTGCTCCCCCCCACCCCACCCCCCCCCATACAGTGGAAGCAGGAGGCGGCAGGAAGCAGGGCGCTGTGAGTTTTTTAGGAAAATCTGGTTTAATGAACAGCACGGAAGTAACTCCCACGAGGAGTCTGAATCTTGGTGGAATTCCTTATCCACGTTTTAGGGTTCAGTGCAGCTTGTACTTTTCATCACATCTTACTGAGGGGAGGTGGGGCTTTTTGCCCCGGGGACCTCGGGGGCACTGAGGTCCCGTCAGTGCTGAGGGCCTCCAAGGATCTCGCTTGGGGCTTGGAAGAGGCGGTTCTTTACAGCACCTGACAGACCACTGGCAGCTGGAATGGTGATGAATATTCTAAGCAGGCAGAATTCCTGGCCTCTCAGAACCCCAGGGCTGGGAAGGGCAGTGATTTCCCCTCAGGGAGACCCGGACCAGCTGCTCCCCACCCCCTCTGCCCAGCTGTGACAGCCTATTTGGGATCCGAGGAAGAGTCACAAGTTGCAGGCTCAGGTGTCTGCCTTAAAGGGACAGAACCCAGATGGCGGGAGAGCTGGCTCAAGTGTGGCTTCATGACGAGGCCAAGGCCAGGCAGAAACCCAACATCAGAGAACCTGGGAGAAGGTCAAGAGGCTGTGCAGGGTAGAGGAGGAAGAGGCAGTCTCTTGGGCCAGGGGCGGCGGAGGTGGGGGGGCTTGCTCCGGGGGCTCCCGGGCCTGCTTTGCCATTACTTGGAGCTCAGCCATGGCCACACTTACCTCCAACAGCTCCCTGGAAAACTAGCCAAGGTCTGGTCTCTGATTCACTAAGGGCCAATGGGTCCCTAGCTCACTCGCCCCTCTGCCCCTGTGCACATGAGTACCACAGGCTGTACCACAACCTAACAGCCTCCAAAGACCTTTCACCCACTGGTCTCTCATAAGCACTCTTTGGCAGTAAGCCTCCAGGACATTAATCAGAGAGGTCAGGTCACTTGTCTAAGGTCACACAGCTAGTACGGGCAAAGAGGGATGGGGAAGGGAAATCACGCTTCCACGTGCCAGGCCTTGCACCAAGGCCTCTGCACGCTTGCTCATCCTCATAACTGCTCGGCAGAAGCTGTTTTACTAGGGGGTTGGGGGGCCAAAGGGAATGTGTCAGTGGTGGAGCCTGGCGGCACCCGTGTTTCAGCCTCCTAGTGTGTGAGTCCTGGACCTCTCTGTGGGGATATGAGTGCTCTAAGAGGATTTTCCCAGGGCTGTGGGTCTCATCTGGAGAAGTCTGGACTCCATGCTACCTGGACCCCTGTGACTTCCAGAAGGAGGACTAGGCCAGGTATGAGCTCAGGGTTGGCCACTCCTACTGGCCACAGGGCACAGTCTCCCATTTTTTTACTGTGGCCTGGGCATCCCGATCCGGGTTGCCCATGGCAGCCCTCTCTTGCCTCTGACCGAAGTCTTGCTGACAAGGGACGGCCCTTGACATCCTCATCACCCCTGGAATGAGGCTACTCAGGGCGGGTGTGCTGTCCCCAGAACCCTCCTCTCTGAACTTTCCGCTGGCTGCGGATATTCCCTCCGCGGCGCTCTGCTCTCTTTCCCTAACCACATCCCAGGAAGGAGCCATTAAGGCAAAGAAAACTGCAGTCAGATCCCATGGGATCATGACTAAAACTCCCATCTGTGGAGGGGTGCTCCTAAGTGCCAGCGGCTTTAGTTCATTAGCTGCTGGATTCTCTACAAAGCTGCACCCGGTGGCAGAGGAGATACGGCTCAGAGCACTGAGCGATGCGCTCTGGGTTGCACAGCAAGTCAAGGAGGAACTGAGATCAGAACCAGGACTGGCGGGCTCCTTCAGCCTATTATCAGTCAAGGCCAGGGGTGACAGTAGAAAGAGCCCTGGGCCCCTGCAGGGAGGGGCCAACCAGGAAAGAGGTTGATAGTCCTGAACACAGACTCTCGGCCTTTAACACCCTCTGAGCTGCTACGGGGCAACGTGGGGAGGTGTATCTTGGGCTTGTGTCCGTCCTGTAGCTTCTCCTTATTTCCTCCAGGGGCAGTGGGACCCCTGTAGGACCCCAGAGCATGGGAGCTGGGGTCACTCCAGGCTCTGGGCCACATCTGAGCACTCATGACTAGACTGGTTGAGGGTCTAGTTCTGGCCGGCGACAAGGCACACTGGCCACTATCTGCTGACTTCCGTGCCCCTGGCCAGGCACAGCCCGTTGAGCAGTTTGGGGGCTTTTTTTTTTTTTAAAAGATATATTTGCCGGGGAAGGGGAAGAGAGAGAGAGAGAAAGAAGGTCTTAAGCAGACTCTGTACCAAGCGCAGGGCGTGACATGGGGCACGATGTGGAGCTTGATCTCATGACCCCGAGATCACAACCTGAGCTGAAACCAAGTCAGACGCTTAACGCACTGCATCACCCAGACACCCCTGGACGGACATGTAACTAACCTCCTACCAGTCGCCACTCGGGTCTGCTTTCTCCAACATTCTGGGCCTTGGTCCCTCTGTCCTGCAGGCTAAGTTGGGGCTGGATCTCTGAAGCCACGCTGTCCTATGATACATTCTAGAAGCCTTTTGTCTCCTGCTGCTCTAGGACTGAACCAGGAACTTGTGTGGGATTCACTCAAGGGTCCAGATAAAGGGTTTCAATCTACCAAAGTGTTACACACACAGCCTGAGCACCAAGCGAGAGGTGAGAAAGCAGGCTCCAGCCCCCGCAGAGATAAAGCCTGTGGGCGAGGCAGGGAAGAGCCCCAGGGAAGAAGCAGAGGCAGCACAGCCCATAGGCTTTGGCTGGGTGGATCCCAGTGCCAGAACCACAAGAGGTAAAACCTGACAATGAGCACGGGTGGGAGCCAGGGGCAGGAGCCACAGGCAGGGTGCTGTGGAGGAGAGGGGAGTCTGCATCCCCCCGACCCCGAGCATCAGCGACAATCCGGCAGTATCAGCACTGAGGAGGGGGAAGGCCACGGCCCTGCCAAGCTGCCGCCGGAGTACACCAGGCCCATGCGACAGCGTCACAACACGAAGGGTGAGCAGACTCTGAGGTGACCCTGGTCCCATCCAGGAGAGCATCAGAAACACAGGCTGGAACTCTAGGGAGAGTCTCAATCACCAGCCCCGTCTGGGAGTCAGGCCGGCACTCTCTCAGGAAGTGGGGGCCCTCCCAGGAAGTGGTAACACAAACTGGGCCCTGCTTGGGCCACCTGGTGCTCGTCCAGACCCAGCCCTGCACTGAACCCTCATTCCTACTGTAACCGTCAGGATCTCCAACTACTCACATAATTGTTCTCTTCCTGGGGCTTCACTTTTGGTTTCCTTTTTATCCTTCTACTAATCGGATGTAGCTAATATTCATAAAAGCGCACAGAACCTATCTGTTTTGTTACCACCACACAGGTCAAGGCTTGGAAGCTGCCACCCCCACCCCCAACCCCCCCACACCTCACACCTGCCTCCTTCCCACAAAGATCGCCACCCTTCTACTCCTGATTTTTGCAATAAGCATTTCCTTGCTGTTTCTAGCTTTACCGCCGACAGAGATGATTAAGGATCTACTTGTTAACTTCAGATGAATGGACTCACACTACTGAACGTTTTGTTTGCTTGGCATTGAAATTCACCTGCCACTTGTTCATTTCCGATGGTATGGACAGCCATTGCGGTTTGTTCTGAACAAAGCCACTGTGAACACGCATTCAGGGGCAGGTCTGCAGGTGTCCCTGGAAACAGTCCCGGGAGTGGAACTGCTGGGTCACAGGACGGGTCTTATCTTCAGCTTCACTGGAAAACGCCCAACTGTTTTCCCGAGGCTTCAGGCCAATCTACACTCCCACCAGCTGGGCGTCGGACACGGCTGCTCCGTTCCCTCATCAGCACTCAGGATTGTTTGACCCGAGCATTTCTGCCAGTGGATGATAGCATCTCACTTACGTTTCCGATTACTGCTGTGACTGACCACCTTTTCCCGAGCTCATGCCCCCATCTAGGTGTTCCTCTCGTGGCTGCCTTACAGGTGTTTTACTCTTTTTTCTATTGTGTTGTCTGCCTTGTCTTCATCACAGTCACCTTCCCTGGATGCAGTCCCCTGTTGCTTGTGTTTACTGCAAATCCCTCTCCCACCCCGGGGCCAGCACCGCCACCCTCTTTGTGGTTATCTTCAGACAAATAAAAGGTCTATTAACGGAGTTGAATTTACCAACTTTCCTTAATTTTTCCCTACCCTGAGCACGAGAACCTTCTCATGGTTTCCCAAGTTTTGCATTTAATATCTGTCGTTCTCTCCTCACCAGACTGTGAGCCCTCTGAGAATTCTGGAAGTCAGTAGTTCCTTGACGATGCTCCGCAGAAGGAAGGAAATCCAGGCAGGGCTGGTTGTACACAACCAGCATTTCATCTGATCCTTACAACCTCATTTTCCAAGTGGGGAAACAGAGGCTCGGAGTGGGCAAGTGACATGACCAGGGAACAAAGGGCCCTCAGGTACATGGGTTTTAGAGTTACACTTTGAGAACCAAACTGGCTCCTTCCTAGCAGTAAATCCACAAATTACTCAGTCTTTCTGAGCCTCTGAACTCCTCACCTATACAAGAGAAAACAATTATTTATTACTGTGGGAGAAAAGAAATGTTTGCAAAGATCTTAGCCATGGGCCTCGTTCATACTGAGTGTTCAACAAAGACCAGAACAAAAATGTACCCAAAGTGTAACTCATTCAAACCCCCACAGCTGTGATGTCCATGTTCTTTCTGCCTCCTTAAGAGAGCCAAGCAGATGACCAGAGCCCTGCCCACTCCTCCCAGAGGCCAAGAGAGCCCATGACGATTGTCAGGTGAACTCTAACCCACATATGATCCACCCTCTTCCTGGAATCCGACTCCCACTGACTTTTCCACCAGGTGCTGCCTAGCCCAGCTGTTGACTCAGCTGACATCTGGAACATCACAGCCCACCCAGATCCCAGAAGGGGACAACCCACGCTCTCTGCCAGATTCCTAAGGGATACTCCAAGGCACCTGCCTGAGACCCACGTGGCTAGGGTGGCTGCCCTCCAGAGCGGGAAGGAAGCTGCCAGTTTCGATCTGTACTGATAAGGTGTGTGGCAGACCGGGTCAGTCCCTGGGGAAAGTCCCAGCCCACCTGCTTTTCAACACCTAAAGCCCAGTCATGAAGGCCACTGACTTTATTGATTTAAAAAACTTTACAAGGAGTGACTATTCTGCCAAAAAAGGAGCCAAATAGCATAAAACAGACTGGTGGGGGTGAGGGAAGGGCCAAGAATCCACTCGGAAAAGCCGTTAATTGTTGACATGAAACTAGCAGGGGAAGGAGAAGGGAGATGCATGCAAAAAAGTTGAAATGGTGGGGGAGAGAACTCCCAAAAGACCTTGAAGTACATCAAAAGTGAGTACGACAACCGCAATCTCTTCATTTGTAGAGGACAAGGGAGGAGTCCCCACGCAGCTGCAAACTCTGGAGACTCGATGCTGGGGCTAGGGGCTGGGGGCTCCCCAAGAGAGCCTCACAAAAAGGCGTCACACCACTCTCGAAGGCACCCAAAGCAGTCCCGGGACTGCTTGGCATTGGCACCACATGTGTCCTTCAGCCATTCCCGGAAGAGATCTTCATCTTTCTTTAGCACCAGAAACTGGCCAAGGACCACATAGGCCTGCAAAACAGGCAAAGTAAAGGGCAAGCTGCTAAGTGCTCTGTGGGACCAAGAAAGAATGAGAAGGCCACTTTGTGGCATTCAAAGCACATGAGCCTAGAAGTAGGGGAGGCGGTGGCTGTCTCTTCAGATCACACATCAATGGCCACCCCCAACAGCTACTTTCGCTTTCCTCACCCCCAAAGCACCCGGAAATACTGTAGTCCGCCACCCCCAGCCCTTCCCAGGTGCATGCAGCCAGCCCACACCTTGTCAAAGCCCCTTTCCTCCAGCTTCTTGCCCAAGACTTCACCAATCCCGGCCAGGCTCCCCACTGGCTTTTCCCCCATGGGCTCTGCCACGAAGTCTCGGTGCTTTTGGGAGGTTGTCATCTTGATCAGCGGAACCTGGCAATCCCAAGAAAAGGTAGTTAGGGCTGAAAACCGGGAACTCCCAAGGGACCAGAGCAATGTTTTGTTATGAGAAAGCGGAACCAGCCATTATGGCTGCTAACTCAATTCTCATCAGTTCACGGTTGTGAGAACTCAAGTCCAAGAAGAGCCTTTCCCCCCGCTACGCAAAAGAATGGTTCTGGGTCCTCCCTGAAACTGTCACTCTCTCTGTGACCTTGGCTGGCTAAGAAGGCACTGAGCCCTCCTAGAGCGGCTCCCCGGCCTGAAAAGCAAGCGATGGGTCTCTCGGCCCCGCTCGCCCGCACGCACTGCTCAGAAAGCGCGGGCCGGGGAGAGCGTAAACCTGCTCCTTCAGCCCCTCGGGGTCATCGCTCGGGCTCCCGCCCAGCCCCGCCCGCCGGCCCCGCCCACCTCCCCGCCCTCTCCACGCGCCGCCGCGCCGCGCCCCGCCCTCTCCCCGCACGGCGGCCCGGGCCCTCTCGGAAGGCGCATCTTCTGGCCCACTATGGCGCCGAGGTCCCTCACCTCCCCTCCTCCCCGCGCCCCCTCTCGCCTCCAGCTCGGGGCCTGCTCCGCGGGGAGCGCTCACCAGCAGCTCCGGCTTCTGTAACGGCTCCTCCCGCCACCCGGCTGCTCCCAGCGATACCTCAACCCACTAGAACTTTCTTCCAGTTCCGCTTCCGGGTCGCCTCACGAGCCGCCTTTAAAAAAAAACTCCGAGTTGGGCACTTCTAGCCGCACAGAGCCATAGAGATGAGGCGCCCCCGACCTCAACGGCGCCCTCAGTGAGCACCGCTTTCGGGTCGTCTCGCGGGAAGCCCGGCTGCCTTCTATGGTCTCGCTTCTCGGGCAGCATATCCGGTCTCAAGGAACTGAGGCCTTCGAGAAAACTCCATTGCCCGCCGGGCGGCATCGGGAACTCAAGAACTTAGCCTTGGCCGACCGGGCGGGGGGAAGAGTTTGAGGGAAGGACAAGGCAGGGGAGGGTGGCCGATAGGCTTCCGGTATAGTACCGGAAGTACGGTGCTCGGAAGGGTCCGACTCAGAAGGGCTCCTGTAGTCATCGTCGTCACCGGGCTTGGAGGAGTCAGGTAGGAGTCGGAGGCGCGGGGGACTTGAGTCTACGTCCACGCCAGTGTCGTGACCGCCGGCCCTTTTCTGTGCCCTCGTTGAATCAGCTGCGAAGTGAGTCGTGGGCGAGCTTCTCAGCCTGGAGAACGAGGTCGTTCGGGCAGTGCCCGTGGGAGACGAGGGCGAGAGAGTAAGTGTGGGTCTCTCTTTCTTTTAAGCAGTCCTTTTTAAGATTACTTATTTGACAGAAACACAGTGAGAGCGGGAACACAAGCTAGGGGAGAGGGAGAAGCAGGCTCCCCGCTGAGCAGGGAGCCCGACGCTGAGCTTGATCGCAGGACCCTGGAATCATGACCTGAGCTGAAGGCAGCCGCTTAACCACTGAGCCACCCAGGCGCCCCCGTGGGTCTTTCTCTGAGCGTCTCTCCTTCAGCATAGGGAGGAGGGCAGGGACGGCAGCTAGGGCTGACCCTAAGGAGTTTGCTTTGGGAAACTATCTGCCTGCGTGGTACCAGTCCTTGTCTCCTCAGTACCCGCGTCAGAAATCTAGCCGGCGCCGCAGACCAAGCCGACTTACCAGACCTTTTGTTAACTCGTTTTAACTCGTTCTTGGCTGGGACCATTGCTCTGAGTCTTCTAAGTGGCTTCTGGCTGTAGTGTTTTAAAAAAACAAAACAAAAAAACAGCATCTGTGTTTCACAGCCACATGTACGATGTACAAACGTGTGAGGAAGATACTGTTTATCGCACATTCCTTCCCCATTGGTTGCCAGAATGACTTTTGTAGAACATGTATTTAGTTTCTGTGATTATGTCAATACTTACAACATGAGGGTTGTTTTTTTTTTAAGATTTTATTTATTTATTTGAGAGCGAGAGCACAAGCAGGGGGAGGGACAGAGGGAGAAGGAGAAGCAGACTCCCCACTGAGCAGGGAGGCTGATGTGGGGCTCCTGGAATCATGACCCTGGAATCATGACCTGAGCGGAATGCACAGGCTTAACCAGCTGAGCCACCCAGGCCCCCCTAACAGGAGTTGTTTTTATGTGCCATACGCTGTACTAAGTGCTTAGTTTGCATTATTTTATTCTACGAACAGTGATGGGAGTTAGCTGTTATTTTTCTCTGAAGCTAAAGAAGTTGAACAGCTAGGAAATAGCCAAGGTAGGATTTGAATCCTAGTAATTGGGTTTTCGAGCTCACATTCTTAACCAGGACACAGTCACTTCTCAGTAAAAGGTCTCTCTCCATCTTCAGAACAGTCCTGGGTTTGAACTTGTCATCCACGAAACTCAGGAGGAGGAGCTGACAGTCTCTGCGTCCCTCAACCCCTGCAACAGGACCCAGCATGTCTCAGGCCACCAAGAGGAAGCATGTGGTGAAAGAGGTGCTGGGGGAGCACATGGTGCCCTCTGACCAGCAGCAGATCGTGAGGGTGAGTGGCATGGGGCACAAGCTGCCCTGCCTCCCCCTCCTTTTAGTCCCCTTGGGCCCCTAGGACGACGGTAGGGTGCAGCGCAACTCACTGGATATTTGAGCTAAGTGATGAGGCTCATTAGTTCTGGGTCTCTCTCGGTGCAGGTGCTCAGGACCCCCGGGAACAATCTGCATGAGGTGGAGACGGCCCAGGGGCAGCGCTTCCTGGTGAGCATGCCCTCCAAATACCGTAAGAACATCTGGATCAAGAGAGGTGAGAGAGGCGGCGCGTAGGAGACAGCTGCTTCCTGTCAGCTTGGCCTTCCCCACTACAAGCGGGATCTGCTGTGTTTTTTCTTCTTTCTTACCTGCAGGGGACTTCCTCATTGTTGACCCTATTGAAGAGGGAGAAAAAGTGAAGGCTGAGATCTCCTTTGTGCTCTGCAAAGACCACGTGCGCTCTCTGCAGAAGGAAGGACTCTGGTAGGGTAGTTCCTCTGGTCATTGGCTGTCTCATTTCTGGGGAGACTGATTTCCTAGCTGTGAAATTGGAGGAGGGAAGGTCATGACATCCTAGTCAGGGACAGCTTGAAACAGGTTTTGTGCTGGTCGAGTTTTGTGTCCTTTCTGACCCCGGCTCTTCTCTTGGCACAGGCCTGAGGCCTTCTCAGAAGTGGCTGAGAAACACAACAACAGGAACAGGTGAGAAGGCTTAGGATAAAAAAATGGGGGTTCAGGCCTTGGAGCCTTGAGGAGGAAATAGAAACATTCTTCCTATGTAGAGACCCTGGGAGATGCTCCTAAGTATGTGATTGGGAGGACGGATGGCTTGGAAGTCCCATGTCCTGGGGTGAGATCATGGTGTTGCCTCTTGTAAATGAATGATTTTAAGTAGGTCACTTGATCTCTTAAGCTTGGATTTCCTCGTCTATAAAGTGGGAGCTTTGCGAGGATTAAAGGAGTTAATGCTTGTAAAATTGCTTAGTATAATACTTGGTATGTGGTATGAGCGCCCTGAGTGTTAGCTCGTGGTTGTAGAATCCTTACTATTAAAGCCAGTGGTTTTTGCAGACTTCTGAGGTGAGGTGGAAGGTGGTCTTCAGTCAGTCTTTCTTGACCATGTGGTCTTCCTTTTTGTGGGGCTCCTTGATTGCAGATCTAGTTTTCCTAGAAGGCGTTGGGTTAATCCTGTCCCTTTTCCCCCGTGCAGACAGACTCAGCCAGAACTCCCAGCAGAGCCACAGTCCTCAGGAGAAGAGTCCAGCTCTGAAGACGATTCCGACCTCTTCGTTAACACCAACCGCAGACAGTATCACGAGAGCGAGGAGGAGAGTGAAGATGAAGAGGCGGCCTGAGTCCCTGGATCCACTTCTCTTGCTCAGAGACTAGTTCTTGGCTCCTCTGAGCTTGGACATTCTCAGGGTGCTCTGCAGATCTTCCCCCCGGGATGGGGGACAAGGCAGGACCCGTTTCTGAACTGACGTTTTTGCTCAAGGAGAATTAAACCCCCGGTGGGTGATGACTTGTGCCGGTGTCTGAGTGGCTCTCTAGAGGGAGGAGGGACTCGTGGTGAAGTGAAAAACTGCTCCTTGGTGGGTCCCTCAGGTGCAGGTCCTAAACGAGCAGGAAATGGGAATGGCTGGAATCTTTCCCAGATTCTCTCTCTCATTGAGCCATCAGTAAGCACCAGGCTCTGTGCTGTGCTTTCTTGGATATATTTAATAGTAGCTTGGAACAATCCATCTGTATTACTCGCTGGTGATTAATACCGACTCAGGTATTCAGGAACACAGCTCTAGGACCTAGTGCCCCTGCCTCTAAGAGACACTCAGGACAAATTTCATAGCACCTGGTAAGCTGCTTTTCCTGGCTTTCTGTTCACTGTCTGAGGGTGCGCCGCCTCCATACTGCTGTGAACATCCTCTGCTCGGTGGCCTCTTTGAGGCTCCTCTGTTACTCTGCAGCTGTCCTGCAAACCACCTCATCCCACTTCTTTGAAGCTTTTACCACTGGTTATATACACTCTCTTCGTTGTTGGCATTGATCTTCTAATCACTGTCCACACCCTGAACAGTTTATCTCCTGGCTTCGAGTCTTCCAGCCCTGCTTCTGCTGGCATTTTCTCCATCCCACGGATGGGCCTGCTCAACACCATGGCCCCCTAGTTCCTTATCTTCCTCTCCAGGCTGCTGCCTATCTCATTAGTCACTCCCTGCCCTCCCGCCATTGATAGGAATTGCAGCGCCTTTTGAATTCAAGTATCTGCAGTCACCGCCTCCTGGCTTTCTGGCTTACTTGCTCGACTACCTCCTCTGTGACTACCTCCTCTGTGACTACCTCCTCTGTATCTTCATCCGCTGCAACACCCCCCCACCACCACCACCCACCACACACATTCTTCCCATTACTGTCCTATCTTCACTTCCCTCCTTGTGCAACATGGATTCCATCCACACCCTCCACTCCCTCGTTTCCCTCCCCTGTACTTATCCAGTAAGAGTAACCCTGGCCAACGCAGCTGTTCACGTCTGGGCCTGTGCTCAAGTAACTGCTAGAGAAAACAGCCAACCTAAATTCATAATTATAAACCTCAGGTGGACACTGAGCGCTGCCTACAGATCTCTGGGATGTCCTATTTCACAGCTTGTATGTTGTCTACCAATTCTGCCTTCCCTTGTGAGGTGTTGACCACACACTTCGTTAAGAAATTGTAGCCATTGGAGGGAACTCTCACCTGCTCATTACCAAGCCTAAAGATGTGCTTTTGGGTTGTCTTGTCTTTAACTTTCCTGTGTAACCCAGTGAGACTTAAACCTTTCCTCTTGTGCTTTGGAGCATGTCTGTCTTCTTGCTTAAGGAGTTCATGTGCGTTTTGTTTTTTCCCTTCCTCTCTACTGAATCTTTTGGCATCAGAGGTGCTGTGAACTCTCCCATCTAAAACACAGTCTGAAGAACTTGTCACTGGTCACACATCCTTTCCAGCTACGGCTTTGTTTATCTGCTTCTTGGTCACTTTCCCTCTTATTAGCTTAGTATAGCTTTAAACGTATACATGTCTATATATTTGTGTGTATGTGTACATATACAGAAAACTTCAGATGAGTTAAGAATGTGTACATACATCTAACTTGTCTAAAATTTATTTTTTATGGGAGGCAAATTTTTTTCTAAAGGGGTAGTCATTTATCTCTATACCATCTATTGAATGAGTCTTTCTTTACGGATTTAAAACACCTTTTTAAAATAAACTAAATTCCTGCAAACTCTCTCTGGAGTTTCTCATCTGTTCTGTTGATGTAAGTGCACACACCATGTTTTATGGCATGACTCGTAATCTCAGAGCTCTTTTCATCCTGCCCCACTGTTCCTTGAAAATTTTGCATTTTTCCTTACACAAGAACTCCAGAAGGACCTTGTCCATTTCCATTTAAAAAGCCTGTTAAGATTTTCATTGGCAGGGTTTTAAATCTCAGAGCTTGATGTGGAGAAAAATGCTATCTTAACAGTTGTGAATTTTCCTATCCGGAAACGAAGTGTGTATGTGCTTTTGTAAGGCTATTTTCATATGGGTCTTTCTGGTTTAGTACTAGGAATTTTTAGAGTTATTTGTTGTTGTGAATGGGATCTTTTGAAATTACATTTCTGACTGTTACTGGCATTTAGGAAAGCTGTCTTTTTTCACCTAAGTTAATCTAATAATTTTTTTTTTTTTTAGATTTTATTTATTAGAGATCACAAGTAAGCAGAGAGGCAAGCGGAGAGAGAGAGAGAGAGGAAGGGAAGCAGGCTCCCTGCTGAGCAGAGAGCCCGATGTGGGGCTCGATCCCAGGACCCTGAGGTCATGACCTGAGCCAAAGGCAGAGGCTCAACCCACTGAGCCACCCAGGCGCCCCGATGTAATCAAAATTTTAAAAAATATTTTATTTATTAGAGCAAGAGAGCACAAAGCGGGGGTTGGGGCAGAGGAAGAGGGAGAAGCGGACTGACTGCTGAGCAGGGAGCCAGATGCATACGGGTCTCCTTGGGATCAAGGCCTGAGTGAGCCCAAGGCAGACACTCAACAGACTGAGCCACCAGGCGCCCTCTAATGGAATTCTTTTGTGCTCATGGTTTTTCAGTTGATTCTCCTGGCTTTCTGGGCCGTCCAATCCTGTCCTACTGGTGGTAGCTTTATCCTTTATCCTTGTTTCTTTTTAGGGATCATGGAGGCCAAGGCCTTCAGTATAATGTTGGGTGGCACCCTCATTTTTCTCCCTGTGGGAACTGTTCTCAGGAGTCATGTAACAAAACTCTTGCCTTAGGAGCCTAATAGATAACCTTCATTAGGGCTAAAAATGTTTCCTTCTGTTCTTAGTTTACTGAAAGATTTTCCCCTTTATTTAATAGTGATGGATTTCCAGGCCTATTGAGATAACTGAAAGACTTCGTTTTATTATTGTGGTTCTTTCTATGGACAGACTTCCTTGCATTGAGCCATCCTTGCAATATCATATTAAACCTCCCTCCCCTTAGTTTTAGAGTTTGTTTGTTTCTTTAGGATTTTTATATTTATTCCTGGGACTATTTCACTTCTTATTTTAATGATCTCCCTGTCCCAATTTGGTAACAGTCTTATGCTAGCCTTGTAGAATGGTCTTGGAGACAGTTAATCTTTTTTCTTGGTCCTCAAATAATTTGCAGAACAGGAGTTACATGTTGCTTCAAAGTTTGGTAGGCTTTACTTATAAAAACATCTGTGTTTGGTTCCTTTTTAAGGAGTAGATACTTGCCTGCCTTTTAATTCCGTGGCCTTTTGTCTGTTTGGGTTCTCTATCCTTGAGCCCATTTTGGCACTTTATATTTTTCTGCAGACAGATTTCATCTGCATTTAAGCGTCTTCAGGCAAAAGGGTATACACAGTATTTGTATTATTTGGGAATTTCTTAGCTGTAAGTGACAAAATCTAACTCTGAACTAGCAGAAGCAAACGAGGGCTCATTGACCAAAAGTCTTTTTTTTTTTTTAAAGATTTTATTTATTTATTTGACAGAGATCACAAGTAGGCAGAGAGACAGGCAAAGAGAGGAGGAAGCAGGCTCCCTGCCGAGCAGAGAGCCCGATGCGGGGCTCGATCCCAGGACCCCGGGATCATGACCTGAGCCGAAGGCAGAGGCTTTAACCCACTGAGCCACCCAGGCGCCCCCATTGACCAAAAGTCTTAAGAGAACAGCTGTGGGCAGAGCTGATCTAGGACCACCATGCTTTCACCCGGGCTCCCTCTCGTTTGTTTCTTGGATGTCTCCGCTTTGCTAGGTGGGCCTGTCTTGGGCTCCCTGCCATCATCTTCTGCGGGAAGCTTCAGGTTACCCTCAGTCCTTATAGGCAAAAAGTTCCTTCGTTAGGATCTGTGTCTGTCATGGAAGACCATTGGGTCATCTTGGGTCACTGGCCCTCTCCTGAGCAAGCGCTGTGGGCAGAATAGGGAGGATGGGGTAAGCGGCAAATGAGCCAAGCCTGATCCATATGTACAACACATGCTTCCTGGGGAATAGAGCGGTTCTCTTACCAGAATAAGGGAACACAGGGGAGGGCAGATAAAACCAATAAACATTTGTCCTCCATTTTGTGTATTTTATTTTCTCTGCAAGATGTCCGCTTACGTTACTAGCTGTTCCTTCTGTTTCTTTGGGTTTGTTTGCTCCTTTCTACCTTATTGAGCTGCATGCTTCATTTCAGTCTTGTTTTCTTACATATTTATGGCTGCAAATTTTTCTCTAAGTACTCCTTTGACTGTTACCCGCTTGGTTATGTGGAGCTGTGATTTTTTTGGCCTTATATCTGTAGGCCTGGCCTTAGGGTTTTGGTTTTCTCTAACCCTCAGTGATCGTGTGATTTACCTAAGAGCCTCTATTTACCCTCCCAAAACCTTTTCATCTCCACTTCTCCATCTCTTACCAGCCATTTAGCTCCTGTGGGTTGTAGCTAAGAATCCCAGAGGAGGTAGAGTACTTGTGTTCCCCAGCATCCTCCTGTTGGTCATTCTCTGAAGTGAATTACACTTCTCTCCTCCCAGCTTAGTGGCAGATTCCAATCATGAGTGAACAGATGTCCCCAAGTGAGCTGAGCGTTCTTTTTTTTTTAGAAAAAATTTTTTTAAAGATTTTATTTATTTATAAATAGAGAGGTAACACAAGCAGGGGGAATGAGAGAGGGAACATAAGCAGGGTGAGTGGGACAGGGAGAGGCAAGCTTCCTGCCAAGCGGGGAGCCCAATGTGGGGCTCGGTCCCAGGACCCTGGGATCATGATCTGACCTGAAGGCAGATGCTTAATGACCGAGCCACCCAGGTGCCCCAGAGCTGAGTGTTCTAAGAGCCCTTTCCCCCATGTCCTGGCCAGTCTGGATGATTGGTCGCCTAACAGTACTGACAACTCCTGCAGTTAGGTTTGGGACTTGTGGCCCTTCAGGTTCTGCACGTGTATCACCAACCTTACAGCAGGTCCTTTCCATCAGAGCCTCCCCACCTGCTTCCTCCCTCATCAT